TATATTTTCTGTATAAGTAGTAAAAAATTCAAAAGAGATAGAAATAACCGAAACTAACAGATCCGTCCATTCGTTGATATTTGTAAGATATTAATACATAAATTTCCAACAAAAATCCTGATGCCAATATGGTTATATGAGCTTGAAGTGTGACACATTAAATAGTCACATTAATACAAGATATCAATAATGCATTAAAAAAAAAAATTGTCCAAATCAAGAATAGGACGGTTGAAAACTGTCGTAGATTTGTGTGGTGTTTAGTGAGCGTTAGTCAGTGATTATTCGGAGATCGTGAGATGCGGTCTGGTGTGACGTAGGTTTTAGAAAAACATTTTCTTTATCGTACCAATGTTTCGATCTTTATTGAGATCATCTTCAGGGCCTGGGATTTAAAAACATTGTTTAAAATTTACAAATACATGTATACCAATACCAATAGATGCGACACACGAATACTTCGGACCTTCTAGAAATACATGTTCGCTGTGAAAAAATAAATTTATACATTGCTAGAAGTTTTAGATTAAAAAAAAAAATAATAATAAAACATAAATAAATAAATAAAATTAATTTATACAATACTAGAAAATTTTATATTTAAATTTTTTTTTCTACAATGCTAGAAATGTTTAGATTAAAAAAATGTGAATTTATACAATGCTAGAATTTTTTTATCTAAAATTTTCTAGCATTGTATAAATTCAATTTATTGATTTATATTTATTTATTTTTAATCTAAAATTTCTAGCATCGTATAAATTCATTTTTACGCATCCTACATATATTTGTAAAATATAAAGAATTACAATTAATAAACCCTCACCAAAATTGGCAAAAACACTGCTGCAATTGGAGAGGGCAAAACTGAGAGGAGTGGTGGGACTACTAACCGGTCACTGGTATCTGAGAAAACATCTACACAACATGGGTATATACAGTGATGATCCCATTTGCAGATTATTTTATGAGGAGGAGGAAACATTCATTCATATCATCTTCGAATGCGAAGCAACAGCTCAATGGAGGTTTAACCTAACGTACGAAAAAGACTCAGGGAACCAAATTGCAGCAATAACAGTCAATGACGTGATACTTCTGAGAAGAAGGATTGAGTCTATTGACTAAACTAGGGAACTGGGAAGGTACAATAAGCCAGAAGGCCGATACACGCCCCGCTTCCCAGCATCCATTCCACCATACCATACCATACCAAGGATTTAGTTGAGATTAAAAAAATCAATGGCACGAGAGGGATTCGAACCCACGATCTTCGGCTTGATACGCCGCTGCTCTACCACTTGAACTATCGTGACCTCGATCCACTAGCAGCAAGCGAGCAGCGGCGTATCTAGCCGAAGATCGTGGGTTCGAATCCCGCTCGTGCCGTTGACTTTTTTATCTCAACTAAAAACCTCAATTAATTGTAATGTATTAATTGGTCAATCGGACCACGAAATTAGTGAATTTAACTAATTAACATTATTTTAACTTAACTGAAACTATAGTATTGAACAGTAGTGTAGAAAACATACGCACAAAAATAAAGACAAATTAAAAACAAATGGTCGGAACAAATTTAGTTTGTCAATTGTTTGCACAGCACATTTTGTCAATATTCTTTCCCTACCATGGTACACTTGATCAGAATCACCAGCGTAACATTGATCACGACCTGATTATTCTCTTCAAACTCTTTCGTACTCCTAAAACATTTATTCCACGACATATAGGCGACACTAATAAATAACTACCCCCTTCATGAGAACAGTAGTATAATGTAATTACACAAACATTACAAAACATGTGTAACAGGAGTTTATTTTATTTAACAAACATATACAACGCTGTACTTAGGGCCACATATTTTCCATTGCTGTAGAAGTACTTGACAATTAAAAGGATTCATAAACCAAATAAACTTTATAATCTTCATGGTTCCATTATTTTCCTATCTCTCCTTAAAATGGTAGAAAAACTCATCCAGAGAAGGTTTTCTATCATTGAAAATGCGATATTATTCACCATCATATCACGTTTGAATTCTACCCGTTACTCGACAAATCAAGCTTGTTTGGTGCTGATAATATCGCGTTTTACCTTGAAGAAAAGGATTTCCTGAGCGTTTTTCGTGGTTAGGTACAGGCTTTTGATCAAGACACCTGGGCTTGCTGTATAAATTAAAGAAGACCCCACCCCCAAATGTAGTATCTCATTCTGAAATCATACCTGGCAGATCGATTCTTCGGAATCCGTCAAGCAGCACTCAACTTGTATACGCATTATGTCCCTCAGGGAAGCAATCTTGGTTCATTTTTTTTTTTTTTCATAATAGACTGAAGATATTCCTACATATCTTAACATTTGAACTCATACCTTTCAATTCTTACACGTAATTTTGACACTTCCATAAACACTCAACACTCAATCGTACACGTAGATGAAAAATGTATTCTAGAAATAAAATTTAATAAAAACTTACAGATTTATTTTTCGTTTCTGTCCTTTAGGATTCCTTCCATTGAACTTTCCATCGACAACCGACTGAATTGGAATAACCATATAAAACTGTAAAGATGAGAAATAAATGATGTTATAAACGATTCTTTCAATTGATCAATCATTATATAAGGTATTGGTTGAAATGAAAAAGTTAGTGTCACGAGCGGGATTCGAACCCACGACATTCGGGTAAATACGCCGCTGCTCTACCACTTGAGCTATCGTGACTTCGATCCACTCGGACACTAACTTCCCATCTGAACCCAACCTTTGGACTTTTCCCATCTGTTTACAATTTTTCAAATGCCGTGTTTGATTCTCGGCGACAAATGAAAAGGCCACGGAGAACTTTACTGAAGATATAATTCATTTAACTTATTAAATTCATCAGATTTCGTGGTCCGATTGGCCAAATAACATCAGTTAATTAATCTTTATGTGAGGTATTGGTTGGAATTAAAGTCGAAGTCACATAAAGTAACACAAAGATTAATTAATTGAAAGAAATTATTTGGTCAATCGGACCGCGAAATATATAACGGATTAAAAATATTACAAGACTCACGGTCAAAATCACACTTTTAAAAAAATAATTTTAAGACAATGATAAAATATTACAGACGTGAAGTGTATGATTGCGCCTAGAATTCCAATTCCCAACGTCTACAATCCTAAGTCCTAAGTTCAAATTCTAGGTTAAATTCTGAATTCTCCAGTGTTTTTAGGCATACTATTCATAATGACCACATCTTGTTTTTGCGCGACCTAATACAAACCCTAGAAAATTACATTAATCAATTAGCATGCACAACAGTTATCTAGTTTAACAGCTATCAATTTCTATCTTACCGAACAATTCTCCATGACGATTAAAGTGAGAGTGAACCCGAGACCTTCTCTGTAAAAATTAATGTAAATTTTATTTTCTGAAAGAGCTTTATCTCTGAGCAACTTCTCACACAAGTGGCTCAAACGGATCATCCAGCGATTTAAGAAAATACTTAAAATTAAAGAAAATATAAACATAGTTTTTAATGTGTGGTGGTTAGTGACAGTTAATCGATAATTATTCAGAAATCGTGAGATGCGGTCTGGTGTGATGTAGGTTTCAGAGAAACATTTTCTTTATCGTGCCAACGTTTCTATCTTTTATTGAGATCATCTTCAGGGCCTGGGATTTACAAACAATGTTTACATTTCTCTGATACGTTTAGGATGTGGAAAAGTGAATTTATACAATGCAAAATATATTTTATATTCAAACAAAGTATTTCTACACACTCAAAGTGTTTGTCTTCTGTGTAATTGTGCCATCCTTGCGTGTCGTGTTGAAAGTGCCAGTGAGATTTTGCTGTTTTATGTTTATGTATGTTTGGTTTTGAAGGGGTGGGGATGGAAGTCGGTATATAAAAGACAATTTTGTATAAGGCATCGGCTTCTTTGAGGTGAAAAGAGCCGACGAAGGGAAAAAAACGTTGGTAATGGTTCGGCCAGATTATCCTTTCAGGATTATACAGAAGGGGATAAATAGGAAAAGGAAAGCTAAATTGTTGAAAAATTAGACTATGTGAAAAAATGTTTGATGTGTGGAATGTGATGTGACATTATATGTATGTTACCTATATTGAATTTGATTAATGATATTGGCGTAGCGGCGACTGAGTTTACATGTATCTGTTCTGTAATTGATGCTGTGCTTATCTCTGTTGATGTAAACCATTTCTAAAAAATTACCTTTATGTTTGTTTTGTTCTGTGTGTAATATTTTTGGATTAATAAAGTCGAAATTGTGTTTGTGTTCAAAATGGTGGGTAGCGAGTGCTGTAGGATTTTGCTTGGGTTTTTTACAATCATAGATATGTTGCTTTACTCTCTTGCCCAAATATTGGGATGTAAGACAGATGTAAGTTGCGGGAGTTTAAACAATTGATTTTGTAGATTACGTCTGATTTATTTGTTATTGGTGTGGGATCTTTAATTTTGGAAAAAGTGTCTGAATTGTTTTATAATTTTTGAAAGCTAAGAATGGCACAATTACATAGAAGACAAACACTTTGAGTGAATAGAAATACTTTGATTGAATATAAAAAATATATTTTGCATTGTATAAATTCACTTTTTTCCACATCCTACATGTATTTGGAAACAATTGAAATACTTGCTTAAGAAGCTTTTTTCTTAAATAAATGTTTACTTGATTTACAATTATTATTTAATAATGATAGCAATGATGATTACCATCTGTGTTGGTATTCAAAACGTTTTGACGAAAGTCAATAAGAAATTTAAATTGCCGGGAAGAATTACGGTTAACTAAAAAGTAAAAAGACAGACTGCTTCATTTAAAATGGTAAACAGAGAAAGTAATAAGCGTCGAGGGAAAAGGACTCAGAAAGAATTTATCATAAAATCCGACGAGACTCTTATATCTACGTTTTATACAATCTCTTATAAATTGGGTGCAAGATTGATAATGATTTTTTTTGTTCTTTTTTTAGGTAGTTGGGGTGATGTCCGTGTTCTTCATTTTCGTCAGTGTATTGACGTTCGCCCTGAAAACACACCCGGACCTCAGGGTTCCGACCATGCTCAATCTAACCCATTCTGGACCTAATAACACAACATGGGTGGAAAGTAGGATCAGATCCGATCCTCATGTATCATTCTTCTACGTCGAATTAGTATGTAACGCTTGGTTCACCTTCGAACTTGTCGTCCGTCTCATTGTAAGTAAATCTTGAATACATGAATTTTGTTAAACTGATATATAATCTTCGCGAAGTTTCCCCGGACGCCCGAGGGGTTTTCAGGTAAATTTCAATATGCTAAACACACCGCTTGCAGTTTTGTGATAGCAAACAACATCGGCGTTAGCGTTGACGGATGAAAATCATTTTAACAAAATGGTTCAACCGTGCTTTCTAAACTCATGATGGGATAAGGATATTAAAATGTAATTCGTGCTTATAGGCCCATCTATAACCATTATTCAACAAACGTCAGGAAGTAGAATTTGCAAAACATAGTAAAGATAATAACATAATTAAACATAAAGATAATTGAACGTAAATAATAAGAGTAAATATATTTTGTGTGGTGATTAGTGACCGTTAGTCGATGATTATTCGTGAGATGCGGTCTGGTGTGATGTAGGTTTCAGAAAAACATTTCATTTTAATCCCAGGCCCTGAAGATGATCTCAATAAAGATTGAAACGTTGGCACGATAAAGAAAATATTTTTCTGAAACCTACATCACACCAGACCGCATCTCACGTTTTCCGAATAATCAGTAAATTTATTGTTATTGAAAAAGTTATCAACATCTAGGCTGGTAGAGGAAACCGTTGAACTCATTAATAGGATTATTACCAGGTATGAGAATAGGGTAACCCTCGTATGGATACCTGCTCATAAGGGGCACTATGGCAATGAGGAGGCGGACAGCCTGGCCAATGAAGGATCAAATACTGCGTTTGTCGGGCCACAACCGGTATTACCCCACTCTTTAAGCACAGCGAAAGAGAGTATAAGTTGCTGGGGCATGAAACAATTCCTTAAAGAATGGAATATGTCCCCCGGATGCAGGCAATCGAAGGAGTTTCTGAAGGAAATCAAACCTAAAGAAGCGAAATGGTTACTCTCTAACTCTAGGAGGGGAATTAGGAGGCTGATAGGTATCCTAACGGGCCATTGCCCCTTGAGAAGACACCTCTTCATAATNTATATATATTGTTATTGAACTGTTTTTTCAATAATATTATTCTTTGTTAAAGAGATTTGCGTACAAGTCAATAGGCGTAACAAATATTTTGGTACAGTGTAAATTTTTAATTTATCTGGCTATTTCTTTAGGTGTAACTAGCTTTATATTTTCCTCTTGTATTGTGGTTGTTTTTCAACTAAGCTAGCATAAATATTTTCGTTTGGTTGGAAAATTTCAGCAAGGGTACTGAAAAAAATTCGTTTTTTTCTTTGCTGTTTCTCGCCCATGTACCATCTTCTTTTTTAATGAAAGAATTTGGGCAAATGGTCTTTTAGTTTTTTATTACCTTCCTTAGATAATAGACCGTGGATTTTCCTTGGAGTTAGATCTTATCTAATTTCTGACTGAGTCGTAAAGTAGTTTCTTTTTCAGTTAAATTTTAATTTAATTATTAATTAAAAATTAATTTGTTGGGCCATATTCTTGAGGATGTTTTTGTTTGCAGGGTCTCTTTATTGTTGTCATTTTCTCCTAGCCTTTCTTTTATGACTTTCTTCTTTCTTCATTAATTTCTTTGGGGCCTATCGTCTTTTAATTGAACCCTATTGTTTTATACATATTCTGTCTAGTATTACACCATGCTGGATCTGAATGATGGAAATGTACATCTCTGTGCCATTTTTTAATTGTCCTTCTGTTTACAGAGGTACAATGTTTCTTTTTACACCGTTTTTACCTCTACGTCTAAGGCCAAACTAGTTCAGCCAGTAGTTAAATGAACTAGTGTTGTTTGCATTGTTTTTATTATCCTTTCACTTACCGTTGAGTGATCAGAACTTTTATCAAAGTTTTCTGGTATGGTAATGAAGTTTGGAGAAACTTTTTTGGTAATGAAAAAGTCTAAGAGATCAGTTACTTTGTTGCAGTTTGTTGGTCAGTAAGTTGTCTTCCCTATAGATTGCTAACTGTTACGTAGCTTTCCTTAGTTTGCGGCCATTGATTTTCGTCAGTCGGGTCTCCAGTATTTTTAGATATGTTGTTATAATATGTTGAAATATGTCGATATGTTGTTGAATAAATGAGTACATTTGGCAAGATCATATTAAATTAATTTGAAAAAATAAGTGATTGAAAAAAATGCATTTACAAAGGATTTCAATGATTTGAAATATTGAATTAATCCTTCTTGTCAAAGTCGTTCCAACTTTATTATCAAACTGGCCACAACAATACAAAATACAAGTTGTTACTAATGCCCTAACAGCAGATCTGTCTGAAGTAACAGATTAGATTAGCCAATAGGGGGAGTGACGCATTAGCAGATAGCCCTCAGAAGACAGTTTGAATTAACGTCGCAGTGATCAAAGTGTATTACCATTTGACTAATTGTAAGGAAGAGCTCAACGTTGAGAAATGTTATAGCGTCATGCATAGTGCAATGATTATAATTCCTGATCAATATGTTATTTTATTACAATTCGGCCGAATTGTGGGAGAAAAAATTTCAAAAGGTGAACGAAAAATTCAGAACAAACTGTACGTTTATAAACGGGTAGTAAATTTTTAAAAAAATTGTGTATGTTAAACCAGTAAAAAAATATTCCGTAATTACCTGCGTTAGCTTCACACCGACATCAATCAATGCCCTATCCAGTCCATCACGGAACAATTAATCGTGTAGAATTTACAAATTTTTTGTTTAATACATTTATATATGCTAAACGTTTTATTTTGTTCAAATTTTACCTTTTGTTTACAGTTAAAAAGATATAGGGAAACATTTGGAAACATAGATGAGAAGTTATCTTTCCTAGAACTTATAGTTAAATGTGAAGTCTACCAAAACTTCGTCATAAACTGTACCTCTGAAACTGTTTTATCGATGTATATCAAATGAAAGCAAATGTTTTCTATTGGTACTTTTTTATTAAATAAAGCATTGTTTTAATATGGTATCGACGATAAATTACTATCTACGAACTATCTCTACAAATTAATTAACTCTAGTATAGGGCTATTTCCGTATTTAAGTTAGTTTTATAAAACTATTTGCTTTCGACTTTGATAATGTGATATTCACATTTTGAATCAATAGTAAATTTTGCTCAAGAATACTTGTATACCATTAAGTTAATTAATGTTACCTGTTGCAAGTGAAAATATATAATCTGCTCGATTCCAAATGTGCTACATAATATAAAGGTTTTTAATATATTAATAATCATCGAAAACAATTTTTTTAATTGACCTTATAAAACAGTTAAATAAACAAGTTTAATTATTTTAAAACATTTCAAAAATAAATCTCCGGCAGTTAACGTTTCAGAAAAGTGTTGAGAAATCCCGCTTTTTTCTTTAAAATATTACGTCACGATAGCTCAAGTGGTAGAGCAGCAGCGTATTTAGCCGAAGTTGTTCGAATCCCGCTCGTGACACTGACTTTTTATCTCAAACAAAGCCTTAATTAAAAAGAATTTGTTTGGTAAATCGGACCACGAAACCTAATAGAGTTAAAATATTACTTTCAATATTAGAGCTACTTAATTTTTTATTACTTGCTATGTTTAAAAGATATACTTCATACAAGCTAAACTTCAAAAACTATGTGTGGTGTTTAGGGGCCGTTAGTCAATCATTATTTGGAGATTGTGAGGTACGGTCTGGTGTGACGTAGGTTTTAGAAAAATATCTTCTCATTATTATGCCAACGTTTCGATCTTTATTGAGATCATCTTCAGGTCCTGGAATTTATAAACATTGTTAAATTTAAAAAAACATGTAGGATATGAAAATAATGAATTTATACAAAGCTAGAAAATTTTAGACTAAAAAAAACTATACAATGATAGAAAATTTTAGATTTATTTATTTTTTTAAATCTAAAATTTTCTATCATTGCAGAAATTCATTTTTTCCACATCCTACATGTATTTGTAGAATTTAAACAATGTTTATAAATTCCAGGCCCTGAAGATGATCTCAATAAAGATCGAAACGTTAGAATGATAAAGAAAATGTTATTCTAAAAATATTTTTAATCAATTAAGATTAATAAATTATTTATGGAAAAGTAAATGTGACAAGTTACAAATGTAATCTGAATTAAGGTATATTTACTTTATTTATTTATCCGTGCTGCCGGATTATTATTTTCTTTAAAACAATGCCGCAAAAGTACGCCATCAACGTTATTTTCTACAGGAAAAGGAATTACATATAACAAAAAAGTTCCCAAACGAGAATTTGTTCTCTTCGGACGATGATAGTATGCAGGAGATATATAGAGGAAAGCCGTAAGGAAAACCAGCACAGATAAGACAAATTGACCAAAAATCTTGCAAGAGAGGCTCGGAAAATATTAATCTCAAATCGCAGCAGATCTTCGTTAGTCAGCAGGATTTTCTTGGTAAACATATTATTACGTGTAATACGTAAATTCAATTTTCATAGACGAATAATGAGAAAAAAGCCTTTCACAAGCCCGGCGAATAGTAAAAAAGCTGCTAAGCTTTATAAAACATTATGTTTCCAGGCCGAACTCTTTCTGAGATGAAAAAAAAATAAATAAAATCCATGATACGGACAGTATTACAAGAGTGAGGAGAAGAGCCAATGAAGACTTCAAACCTCAGAATACTCGAGGAACTGTAATGCATGTTGGCGGCTATTTAATGGTATGGTGTATGCCGTCTAATGGGACAGGAAAATCTGTATTTGTCGAATTAAGGACAGTTATATGTGTCGCGAATTGAGAATTAACAATACGTTTTAATTTTATTAAGATAATGGTTCTAAACATAGAGTGCTTCGGACTGAAAAATGGCTACATTATAATTGCCCTAAAGTATTAGATAGAAACTACCACACAATCAGCCGAGCTCTAGTCCATTGAAGATTTGTGGCCAATTGTTGAAAGGTAGTTCAGAAAGGAGCCAATCTGAAATATGCATATGCTAATATTTCTAACAAACTTAAAATGGTATTGCCTTCCAAACAACTCCTAAATTAGTTGTTCAATGGTGGATCGGTGAAAACAAATAATTAAAAACAAATGATATGCTACTAAACATTAATCATTAAATCCATTACAGTTCGTGGTCCGATTGACCAATTAACTTTTTTCCATTAATGAATATTTATGAAAGGTATTGGTTGAGATAAAAAAGGCAGTGTCACCCGCGGGATTCGAACCCACGACCTTCGGCCAAAAGGGAGTAGGTGTCAGAATGGATCGAAGTTACGATAGCTCAAGTGGGAGTGTAGCGAGCGGCGTGGGTTCGAATCCCGTTCGTGACACTGACTTTTTATCTCAACCAATACCTTTCATAAATATTAATTAATTGAATTAATCATTAAAATTTATATTATTGTTATGGTTTCTGATAACTTTTGTGACCCTTAAATTCATAACATGAAATTCCATAGATAATAATTATGGTAATATATTATTATTCACAAATTTTTCCTTATTCATTTTCCGTCCATTACACTGTTTCAGATTTGCTGATAAACAATGCTTAAAATTTAAGTTAAACTCGAATATTGTCAGTGGAATAATGTATGTTAATTTTTCCTATTACTTTTGTGATTCAAACCTAAAACGTAAAAACCTTGACGAGTTAATTTTATGGATTATTGTGAAATTATATATTTTACGTCTGAAATTGGACTTACTTTTACCGCCAATTTTATCATTCCTGTAGCACAAGCGGTGAAAGATAATTAAGCCTTTCAACTTAACTTTAATGCTTAAGATGGTAAAATTTAAATTAGTTCCTTTTCTGAAAATTCTGTTGGGGTTTCATTAATTGAAGTTTTAGCATCAATGGGCCTTCAATTTCATAATTTCACATAACTGTACTTAGCTATTCGTTATTAACATTAAGAAAAATTGATACCTTAATCTTTGTTTTGTTTTCAGTACAAATTATATCATAGAAACTATTAAACTGTTGAAAAAATTATATGATGTGTTAATGAGTAGGTGAAGTTAATGAATAGTTCCACAGTTATACAAATACGTTAGCATCCTCATCTAATGACCGAAGGACAATTTCCATGTTCTGTGTTCTAACTTATCCTTATATAGGTAGAGAAACATGTCACAAACCACATTGACATTTAGAAAGACATGCTTATTTAACCTTCTAAATATTTTACAAAACAACTTTATGATGATGATGATCTTGCCCAAAGGTTACAGAAATCTAAGTTAATTTATTATTGAAACTATTAAGTGAAGTAGTTTGACAAGCGCAATAGGAATTCGCTCAAACCGATTCATTGCACAAGTAATTTAAGCAAGTCAAGTTTCTTTAGCACGTACATCGTCTTATTTATTACATTTTCTACTATTAGACAATGGCGAATTCCTCGAGTGTCAATTAAAGGAGAATGAGAATTTTATTTGTAACGAAGGACATAATCGTTCACAATTATTTATTAACAATTTAACAAAGTTTAATGCAATTTTCTATAAACAATTATTTTGAAAAATAAGATTCTTTGAAATTATTCTCATGAGATAATAGACTCGTAAATATTATCTTCCTTTCACCCTCGAAAAATAATTGATGCACGATCTCATAAAATTTTATGGTCAAATTACAGAAAAAATACTTTCATTTTATAAAATATAAACTATGACGATTATTTAAAGTGGTTGTATGTTGTTGGAATTGTATGCTTAAAACAAAAGGGCATACAATTCAGCACAATAATTGAAATAATGAAAAAATAATAATATATTATTACAACATCGTTAAATTTCGAGTTTTTTAAGAATTAGTTATTAGTTAGCATGTTAATAGAAAAAACTGCAAAAAATAAATTACAAAACAAACAGAACTTCTTATTTTCTAATCTTGATTACATCTGCAAAACTGACCAGTATCTCTAAAAAAATTCAATTTAATTACAACAACAAACATAACTTCTTATTTTCTAATCTTGGTTACAACTGACAAACTGACCAGTATCTCTAATACAATTCAATTCAATTTACGTTTAATTACGCCGTCAGAACAAACGAGTTCTCTAGAAAATTATAGTGAAATCTAGTTATTGCACGTAAGGTGAAAATATTTGACCACGCTAACTAAAGGTATAAAAATTGTTTAATTTAAAGAAATAAAATTTGTGCTATGTAAAAAGATCTGAGTATATTTTTTCAAACTTAGAACTTGATTTTTACAGATAAAAATACATTAATTAAATGTTCAGTTCTTGCATTAACATCAAAATTTAGCATGAGTAAGCGTATGCCCCCATATATGTACTATAATGAAATCGCATTACCATCTTGCTAACAAATGGCCAGAATTTAATGGAGTTCAGTTAGTAATGAAATCTTTGATTGAAAACAGTGTAATATTTATTTTAATATTTGGCCGATCCTTAAACTTGGCACATGGTTTAAGCTGATATGTGTATTTTGTAAGTTTTGCTTTCAATATTAATTACGATCATTGGTCCTGTAGATAGTAAAAATTTACATTATTTTTCACACTAACTAATGAAGTTAAAACAAAGATGTCAATTTGCTTTTTCTATTGTATAATGGTACATTCAACAATTTTTTATTGTTCTATGATAAAATCTATTGTTGCAGATACATTTGTCATTAGTTGTGCTCGTTGGTATAGTAATTTCCGTATCGAATTGAAATTCAACACAATTGTAGTTTTATACCGCGCTGCTGAACAAATACAAAAACAAGACATTGCTGTACATAATGGGCAAGTGATTTATTGACTGGTTTGTGTTGCTTTTATGTAGGTGGCACCCTCCTGGAACAAAAAAATAGGAATAGAACCTTTATTTACATAAGAAAAATTTCTTTCTTTACATGTTATAATTATATGTTAAACATTATTGATCAGCAAAAGACACCATTGAACCTAAGCACACGGTTTGGCAATCATTAACCCCTTGGGAAATTTTGAAATCTGGGCCGAAGGATTGATACTGGCTGAAGCATCCGCCATAAATGTACTGCTAACACCTTATATAAATACAACCCCTATTTGGTACAAGGCCGGTCTAATCCTAATGGTTTTCTATTTTTCTTTGAGATAAATAGACCAGGGAAGCGGAAACAGCCAACGTATGGCACAACATGTGGTTGAAACAACAAACTACTTTATCCTGCCAATTGAGAATTTATCTCAACCCAAAGAACTAGCGATAATTTTTTCGTTTATTGCTTTGAACACTTCTTTATAAATTGAAATTATCAACTCTGGGATTTTTTTTAACTTGCGGACATATTTATGTATAAATTTTACTGTAGATGTTTCAAAAGATGCCGTGTAAACTTCTGTATTACGAACGTACAGTTGAGGTAGTGGATGTGATTTATCCAACCCTTCTACTCCATTTTATGCCGTATAGATCACTTATTCTTTTCTGACATAAAACTGAAACCATCACAAACACCAGATATCATTATAAGGTTTAACGTAAGTTCATAACGACATTCATTTGTTTTTCAAAAAAATTAGAGCAAGGCTTTTTTATTTTATTTTAAGAGTAAATATCGTAGAAATGATCATCATGACTTTTTTAAACTTGGTTAACAATAAAAAAGTGTTGTTTTTTATAAAACTGATTATAACGAATATTTTAAAAGAAAACTGGATCGAAATCGATCAGATGGATAATATTTTTTTAACATACACATTACTGCCGTTTATATCGTCTTCGTGCCTTCATCCAACGCGATAATATCTGGAAAACTGTTTGAATTGCGTTTGGCCGAGGACATAATAGAACCTTCGCTTTCTTCTCCTGCGCTGCGTTCAGAAGAAGTGACGCTCATGCTGTCCCGAATATAGATTGGTGCTGGATCTTCTTCGAAAAGTAGTGATAGCAGAGCGTAGCTGACACACTCGCTCCGTACGAGTCGCTGCGGACCGCGCCACCTCATTATCGTCGGTACGGTGAACACACGAAAATTCGGGTTTTCGTAGAACTCGTTTCCCTCGCCGTACAGGTCCTCGTCCAGGCGGACCGAAATCAAAAGGATTTTCCTCCTTTCTGGCAAAAGCTGAAGGTAGTCCGCCAAGATCTCCTCGGCCGCTGCGGATATGTTTGACGGATTTTTCAGCCTTTCTTGGAATGAGGCTTTGAAGAAAATGTATGCGTAACTTTCCGGGGTGATGTTGGCGAGCGTCTGCCTGAGAACGTTTGGTGATACCTCCGAATACTCTATCGGCATATTTGTGTTTTTGAGTTTGTCTGAATTTTCATGTGCCAAGTCTTCAACTACCTATTTTTGTAATGTGAATTATACAGATGATAGAAAACAATTTAGTATAAGCATGTAAAACTACTAAGAAATATATTTTATATATTTTATTGTTTTTATTATTGGTATGAATTATGGGTAATTTTTTAAAAACAATTATCACCGTTTTTGCAGTAAATTTTTAAATAAACTGAAATTTTCAACAGGGAATTGTAGGACGTTTTCTATTTTTATAGCCAAACGTTCAACTCACTTCTTCACTAAGTCAATTCGTTTTAGAAAATGATGGTTCTACTAACAAACTGATTAGAAAGAGTTAATATAAACATATAGATTTCTTAAAAGCATGGTTTTAAGTCGAGAAGAGCTCTTCCGTACAGTAGCTTTGGCCAACGGCGAACTTAGCGTCCGTTACATACCCACGTGCAGCACTCTACCACCCTGTCTACTGCGGTTTAGGGCCATCGGAAGATCAAAGGAAAGGTAGTTGTCGACCACAAGGATAGTTGCAGGATGAAAGGTTACCGGAAGGAACTGGCCATCACGTTCTCCTGACATGAATATTATGAAATATGATAAAGAGTCGGGTTAGACATCGTTCCCCGCCACCATTTATCGTTGAACAGCTTCAAACATCTCTTGTTGATGAGGGCGTGTGAAATGTTTTGTTTCATAGGGTGTACGAACATCCATAGTCCACCCACTTAATTCGGAAACGATTAACTTTAACAAAAAATAATATTGTACAAACCCCAAGTTTACTTCGGCAGGAAATCGCGTGTGGTAACAGATTTAACATAACTTTCTCATCTAGCTGGGAAGTGACGTGGACTTTGTTATTTTAAAATAGAATCCCATATTTTGATTGCACAATTTGAATCTGAAGCTTATTTTATGCCATTTTTATTTAAAGAAAAATTTTGAGAGGCTCAAGCATTTCTGAGTTATGCCTGACGGAAGAGGGGTGAGGGAGTTATGCTTTTTGTAACAACCCCGTTTATTTTGAAAACGCATAGCATTCCCAAGCTTACGCTTAGCTTACATTAATTTTTAGAAAAGAGTAACCGTTTTACAATAAAGACCATTTTATTTTTGAAATGACTATCAGCCGTTATTATGTATTGTGGAAGATTTGACCATTTTTTAAACTTTATGTTTATGCTCGAATGCGCTCCCTTCGTTTGATGCGCAGTGCTCTACTCGTTTCAGGAATTCTTTATTTGTGACCTTTTCTATTAAGTCCGTTATGTCCAAGAAATTATCTAGGAATACATCCCTCAAACCAGGGATCTCATTGGCAGTGATTTTCGATTTCTGGTTGGCCATGTCAGACCTCATAGAGGAAGAGTTGATCATCAACGTTTATAAAATCTGAGAATTACCGAACTGCCCCTCATTCCCAGTGAGCGCATGCGGGAAGCTTTGCATTGCTTTGCGTTGCAACATCTATGGAATGAAATTCCGTACAAAATTAGTGACAGTATGGCTAACAGGTGTGCAGATGTTTTAGCTAGCAGAGGACATTATACATGGTATTAATTGTTTAATAAAATTATTGTGTACAATAAACAAAATTTTTAGTTTTTAATATGGAATTAAAACCTTTTATTGTGTTACTTTTCAAAATCCCTTATTCAAATTGTTCTTCAGTAAAACATAATAATTTCTAATAAATCTTAATGCAATTTTTAATAACAATACAATTAAAATTTTAACGAAGTAAATACTACAAATGCATGGCAATCCTTATTTGTTTTTCAGAAGTTTTTGAGTTGATCTTCACTTTCCATCAAAAGCTCGTCTTTTCCTTATTTAACGTGCTACATATTGCACATACTCTTCAAGAATAGCAGTAGAACGCAATGTCGTCAGATGTCAGAACTAGTTTTGGCAAAACGTTTAGAAGAAATTATTCTTAAGGATTCAATAGAGCACTCTCAACACGACACGCAAGAATGGCACAATTACACATAAGACAAACACTTTGAGCCTTGAAGATGATCTCAAAAGATCGAAACGTTGGCACGATAAATAAAATGTTTTTCTGAAACCTACATCACACCAGACCGCATCTCACGATTTCTGAATAATTATCGATTAACGGTCACTAAGTACCACACGTTTAGAAAAAACAAAGTCAGGCCTAGTATTAAGCACTGAGGACACTTAAAAAAGAGAGATTGCTCTAAATAAAATTCGACTACGACCATATCGTGATATGTGTGGTAACAGCAATACACCAAAGGCTGAATGATATCAGCGAAGCATGTGATTTTAATAACCTGGAGCATATTGTAACGAATTGTTTCACATACAAGATAGAAAGAGAGAAAATGCTTTTAAAAATTGTATTAAGTGCTGTTTATTAATAAGAAGTTTTTCTCTAGAACTCTCTTGAATTCAAGAAGACTCGAAATGTACAAAGAGAATTTAACCTTTTTTAAGAGAGAAAATTTAATTTGCAAATCTAATATAACAATTGGTTCCATAATAGAATAGTGTTCACTGTTACTGAAAACCTTAGCGAGTTACAAATAAAATTGTACTACGCTCACATTTATAAACCAATATAAAAATGTTTTATGCATTGTCGATTTTGAGGCGGTTTATTACTTTTTAAATATTTATACATTTATAGTTTTGGGAGATTTCACTGTGTACGATGGAGGCTGAACCATTAGAAAAAATAAACCAGGTTAGAATTAAAAGCTTCAACTGAAGAATCAACAGCTTCGTTAACTTTGAAGTTACTTTACATACCATTGAAGTACGGTTTGAGTTCAATAATAGAAAATGATTAACTTTCTATATATATTACTATTTATAGTATTTCTAAAAAATATAGCTCTGGTGTTGATCCTATATCCTACTATTACTAATTTCCGTCTGTTATCGCTCTGTTGATATGATATACGCGTTTCGGCTTTTGGCCTTCTTCAGTCAACTCACCTCGCCCAAAACCATCACTGACCCTCAACCATATAGAGAAGCTGAAAAATGTTCTATATTTACAATTTTTAAAAACACCAGAGCTATATTTTTTAGAAATACTATAAATAGTAATATATATAGAAAGTTAATCATTTTCTATTATTGAACTCAAACCGTCCTTCAATGGTATGTAAAGTAACTTCAAAGTTAACGAAGCTGTTGATTCGTCGGTTGAAGCTTTTAATTCAAACCTGGTTTATTTTTCCAAATGGTAATGCAATAACAAACTCAATGAACTTAATTACAACCCAATTCTGTTTCAAATTGAAATGACGAAATTCTGTTTTATTTTATTTATGTACATGTTGTTTTTATGCGTTTTTTTATCCAGTATTTTAATAATTTGTGAATTTTTCGAAAATTTGCTACATAAAATTATGTAACTATTGTATAGTTTTAAAATTGGTTTTGTATTGGACTGGTTGAGCTTAATAATCTATCTAGTCGAGATTACAAGTATTCTTTTTTTAGCATACACAAAACATAGAATAAGACTATTTAATAATTCTGCTATCTTATAGGTTATGTTAACTGAAAATGGTTTATGAATTTCTGAAAGGTTTATACAAGGATCTACCCGACCAACTCGTAATTGTATTAATTCCATTATTAGAAATTACATTATCACTAATGGAAATTGGAATAGCCGCAGATATCAAAACAAAGCTAAATGATGCCCGGGCGATAAGGGAAAACGCCCAGGAGAAACTTCGTAATGGTATCTGGCTTGAAACCGCTAAACAATTAACCACATACACAACCTCGTTCATCATCCTATTTGAACATAGCACGACTTCGTATACTCACACGACTTCCCTCACAACACCTTAAGACTAAATTAATACAAACGTTATTCAAACGTGTTGCATTTTTTCAAATAAATGATTACCCAGATTAACAATGGATAAAAGAAATACAAAATTTCAAGATTTAACAATTACGTAGTAATATGTGCACCAAACTATTTGGTATACTGTTAAACATTTAAGGATTAATTATGAGTTAATGAAATAAATGTTTTGAGTAGGATATTGGTTTGACCACATTCATGTGGATCACCTTTTAAGAAGAACTAATCTGGCAACAACTTACTTTCCTTGTAAACCGAGTATCATAAATATGGCCTTTTGGTTGAATCTTTAAAGACACCTGGCCCGATGTCCAGTCTGTCAAATTTTATAGTGAAGAACTACCACCTCAGCGATTCGGCTTCCGGCCTGGCCTACTAGCTACGCGAACCAATAGCTACTCTACTCCGACAGTTCGACGCTCAAGCGACGGGATCATTAACAGTGTGAGGACTGATAGGTTCCCACCTCAGGCATATTATATATATATTACACAGGGCGGGCGACCAGGACCCGAGGGGTTAAAAGCCTGAGTAGGCCCGCACCCCCTTCCCTAAAAGGTCCGGGACCTGGTCGGCTCATGAGTCCTGCATAAACCTATTGGACCTATTCACAAACCCCAGGATTGTGGACCATTTTATCCTGGGGAGTGTTTTGGTTATGTCCTCTCCTTCGAAAGTATTAAATCTTTCCCTAGCATACCTATCGCATTCTGCGAGGTAGTGTCGGGCCGTTTCTTCTTTTGTTTCGCAGAAGCGGCAGAAGGGGTCTGGTAGAGTACCCATTATGAAGAGGTGTCTTCTCAAGGGGCAATGGCCCGTTAGGATACCTATCAGCCTCCTTATTCCCCTCCTAGAGTTAGAGAATAGCCATTTCGATTCTTTAGGTTTGATTTCCTTCAGAAACTCCTTCGATTGCCTGCATCCTGGGGACATATCCTCAGGCATATTACAAGCCAGCCATCCTCAAGAGCAAAAGATGCTTCGGACAAGCTTTCATAGATCAAACATGTCAGTTGGCATGAGCGATGGCCTACTTTCCCCCAATAAAGGCATCCTGTCTCACATTTTTCAGCACTAGGAGCAACGTTCCCAAAGCAGAGTTGTTATATTTATTTCACCCATGTTGAACCGGCACACGGGTACTCCTGGGTCTGTCTTCACTCGCGGGTTTTTTGTTTGAGTTATTCAGACGCGTTTCAGCATTGCGCCATCTTCAATGAAAAACTG